AAAAGGATTAATAAAAAATCCTAGCATGTCACTAATAATAATATCAAAGTGTTATCCTAAACATGATACTAGAAATCATACAAAACATCCTAAGCATGATACTAGAAATTAACATAATATTGTAAACATGATTTCTACTCCAAAATCAAAGGAATAATTTAGTAATCGAATTACTTACTTTGATGCCTCAACTTTCTTGCTATTAAAATAATACACACGTTAGTAAACTTCAAGAAAGTTGAATCAATGAAGTAAATAAATCAAATATGAATTGAAATATAGATTTGGGACCAAACCCTAAGAACTATTAACCTTTCACGTCAAGGTCGAAGGCAACGTCGAGGTGGCTTAGAGTATTCGAATCTCGTGAACGAGGTATTGTGACTTATTTGGGAGAGTATCAAGGATGTGTGTAGGGTAAGGCTAAGAACATTGGGATCAAGAAAGAAAATAGATGATTAGGATGAATGGAGCTAGGTGATTATAGCTTATGATTGATGGTCCTAGCTGATTTGAAAACGGGGAAATCGACCTTTATTTATAGGGAAAATGAGAGTCTAGACAATCAGAAAAGATCAGGATTTGGAACGGAATAAAACAGGTTCCGTCATGGGCCGATAGACCTACCGTCATGCGACAGTGTCCATCGCGGCGCGATAGGTTTTATCGCAACGCGACAGTGTCCATCGCGACGCGATAGAACTATTGCAACGCGTTGGTTCTGTCGTCCTGCGATGATTTCTAAAATAAACACTCGTACATAATTTGATTTCCAATAGAATTAGGTTAACAAAATATATACGTACGTCTTTGAATTTGATCGGGATAAGGACTATCATAAGAGAAGTTTTATTCAGCTTCGAACACTTTTGATCTTTATCTTTTCGGAAAGGATAAATTAGAACCTTCTAGAGGATTTTAGAAGCTCCTAAAAAATCCTAATGGGTTTAGGATTAGGAATAAGGTATTTGGACCCTCACATGATCATTGGGTCGTATAGGTAAGGTGGACCTAAGTCCGGCTTATGCTTGGTTTAGTATTTTGGCCATAACTTGTTCATTTTAAGTCGGATTTGGGCTTATAATATATCGTTGGAAAGCTCTTTTCAAACCCCATCCAACTAAACAATATGGATCAAAAAAATCTGGTTTGGACATTTTTATGAGTTAGACACAAAATGAATGATTTTTAAGGGACACGAAATGAATGATTTTGGGTTTAAAGACACGAAATAAATGATTTTGGTTTAAAACATTTTAGGAAAGATTAAGAATATGGTCAAGGCTTAAGGAAACTTCACAAGACTCTTCAACTCTTTACCGAACTCGTTAATCAAAGACATGAAAAACATCTAAGTTACGAGGGAACTATTCCGTCGGAAAACCTTAAAAATCCGTCGGAAAGTCCATTTTTCGACGGAATTCCGTCGGAGTACGCTGTCAGAGACCCCTTTGTAGGAAATATGGGTTATACCGAGGGATTTTCCGTCGGAAACATCCTTACCGACGGAATTTCCGACGGATTTTAATTTCTCGGAACCTTAGTTTGACCTGAATTGGAGGTCCGTCGCAAGCTTCCGACGGAATAAAATCCCTCGGAATATTCCCCTGTTCCGACGGAAATTTCCGTCGGAAGGCCCCACATTTCCGAGGGAAATTTTCGTCGGAACAGGGGAAAGTTACGAGGGATTTATTCCGTTAGAAGGTCCCCTTTTCCGAGGGATTATAATTCCGTCGAAAGATCCCCTTTTCCGAGGGATTGTATTTCCGTCGGAAGTTCTCCTTTTCCGAGGGATTATAATTCCGTCGGAAGCTCTCCTTTTCCGAGGGATTATAATTCCGTCGGAACTTTTCTTCTTTGCGACAAAATAAATTTCTATTTTGGCTATATATTTTCCTCCGGGACAAACCTGTAATTCCTGCTTCTTATATTATATTACTCACTGAACAAATTTGTGCAAATATATATATATATATATATATATATATATATATATATATATATATATATATATATATATATATATATATAGATACTAATTCCAATGTTTACAATAAACACTAAGTTAATATAAAATTACAACTAACAAACACTAAGTTCATCAATGCTATACAAAAGCGCGAGAGCCCTGGCCAGCTCCACCAAAACCCGGGTCGTCGTCCCTAGGATCTCGAAATGGAGGTCGCACGTTGGAACGTGGGTCATTGGCGTAACGACCCATCATCCTTTCTTCCAGCCTCTTCTCCATTTCTTCCATTTGGGCTTGTAGTTGTACTTGAACTTGGGCTTAAACTTGGGCTTGAACTCGGGCTTGAACTCGGGCTTCCATGTCGGCTTCCATTTTTTCCCGAATAGCCTGGACCCTGGATTCCATCTGATCCTGCATCAGAGAAACAAAGGAGGCCGTGTACTGCATGGAAGAGGTGGAAATTCAGCAACCTATCTGGCTGCCATAGTACATGTCAGCACTTTCGCCTAGTCCCTTCACACGCCCTTTTTTGTTCCGACCACCCACTATCTCCCAGTACAGCTCATTCGGACTCTTCTGAGTCCTTTGAGTGCTAGCCGCCTCAACCCTCTTTTGGTAGGCCTCCTACAAGATAAACATATAAAAGGGAACAAACGAGGTAATAAGTCATACAAATAAGCTAAACGTAATTAAGCCAACTATGAAGTATATGACCTATTCTTTGCCCATTTTCTATGTTTTTGACCAAATGAACTATTTTTTTCTCTAAACATCTCTATTACAGGTACTCTAAGGGGTAAATGCCTTGAAAATTCCAAAAAACTACAACTCCCTAAGGTTTGGGACGCATTTTGGAGCCAAATTGAGCCAACTATGGCCTATATGACCTATTCCTTGCCCAATTTCTATGTTATTGACCAAATGAACTATTTTTTTCTCTAAACATCTCTATTACAGGTATTATAAGGGGTACATGCCTTGAAATTCCAAAAAAATACAACTCCCTAAGGTTTGGGACGCATTTTGGAGCCAAATTGAGCCAACTATGGCCTATATGACCTATTCCTTGCCCAATTTCTATGTTATTGACCAAATGAACTATTTTTTTCTCTACACATCTCTATTACAGGTATTATAAGGGGTACATGCCTTGAAATTCCAAAAAATACAACTCCCTAAGGTTTGGGACGCATTTTGGAGCCAAATTGAGCCAACTATGGCCTATATGACCTATTCCTTGCCCATTTTCTATGTTTTTGACCAAATGAACTATTTTTTTCTCTAAAAATCTCTATTATAGGTAGTCTAAGGGGTAAATGCCTTGAAATGCCAAAAAAATACAAATCCCTAAGGTTTGGGACGCATTTTGGAGCCAAATTGAGCCAACTATGGCCTATATGACCTATTCTTTGCCCATTTACTACGTTTTCGACCAAATGACCTATTTATTTCTCAAAACATGTCTATTATAGGTATTATAAGGGGTTCATGACTTTAAATCACAAAAAACTACAACTCCCTAAGGTTTGGGACGCATTTGGAGCCAAATTGAACCAACTATGGCCTATATGACCTATTATTTACCCATTTATTACGTTTTCGACCAAATTACCTATTTCTTTCTCTAAACATGTCTATTATAGGTATTCTAAGGGGTTCATGACTTGAAATCACAAAAAAATACAAGTCCCTACGTTTTGGGACGCATTTGGAGCCAAATTGAACCAACTATGAAGTATATGACCTATAATTTACCCATTTACTACATCCATTTACTACGTTTTCGACAAAATGACCTATTTCTTTCTCATAACATGTCTATTATAGGTATTCTAAGGGTTTCATGACTTGAAATCGCAAAAAAAACTACAAGTCCCTACGTTTCGGGACGCATTTGGAGCCAAATTGAACCAACTTATGAAGTATATGACCTATTATTTACCCATTTACTAGGTTTTCGACCGAATGACCTATTTCTTTCTATAAACATGCATATTTTAGGTATTCTAAGGGGTTCATGACTTGAATTCACAAAAAACTACAAGTCCCTACGTTTTGGGACGCATTTGGAGCCAAATTGAACCAACTATGGCCTATATGACCTATTCCTTGCCCATTTACTACTTTTTCGACCAAATGAACTATTTTTTTATCTACACCTATTCATGAATAATGAAACAAGGAAAAAATTTTAGGGAGTTTGTTACCGCAATTTGCTGAGCTGTGGGGTTTACTGGCATTGTGCCTTTCCCAGGCAGCTCCTTGAAGTGTGTCTTCAGAAACAGCTCAGGAGCTGTTGGTAGCTGGCCCTTGTTCTTTGCCGCCTTTGATACAAAAGAATAGGAATAATCGTTAACCATGTCAAACCTTTGTTACATTGAAATACACAAATACGTCTTGTAATATAAGATATTTTTAAATAAACTTACCATCCTTTTTACATGTTGGGTAGCTGCCAACGAACCCTGAAAGTGGGTCCCTCGGACGGGATTTTCCATAGAACCGCCCCTTCTGTTCTTCTGGTTCTGCGCCGACCTCTCCTTGTAAGTTGGATCGTTAGCAACAATGTCCATCATCTTCTTGTGGAGCTCCGCACTCAACCATCTTGGCCTGGCGCCTTTCATCTTGTGCGTGATGGTGTGGAACATGTCACGCAGGCGTGTGGCTACCCTCCTCCGGAATGTGATCTTCACTAGCTCGTCCATCTGAGGTGCCCATCTGTATTGTGCCTATAAATGATAAAATACAAAAGTTATACACAAAACTAAATCAACACAATAGCTAAAACATGTATTAACCAAGACCCAAAAATATCATACGCTGAACAAGTTCCACCAGTGTTCCTTCGTAGCTGGAGGCACTTCGGAGAAGTTCCTCCAAGGGGCTCGGTAGTATCCAATAATCGTACCGGATACCGCACTCCGAACCTTAGGATCATCAAACCTATAACAAACGGGAAACAACAATGTTAAACAAGTTCGAAATATGTAATATAAGCCTTGTATCTGATCATCCATATCATGATATTTACTTACCACAGCGTAGTAGGGTCAAAAAACGGGAGCTGTGACTCATCCTGTGGCTCGTCCTCTGACTCATCCCGTGGCCCATCTTCTACAGGAGTGGATGGGGACGTCTGATCATCAGCATCGAACATCTCCTCATCCTGGTCGTCAGTGAACAGGGCGCGCGCGGTCTCTTTCTCTTTCCCCTTTGCTTTCTTCGACGACTGCCCACTTTTTCCACCCACCATGACTACCTGAATAAGATGTTAGTAAAATGACAAGATATTGTAAATAAGGAGTGCAGTGCAACGTAATATGGCTTTTATACAAACACTAAAAAGTTTTACATAAGCCTCATTAATATTTTGATTTTACAATAAGAAGCATACGTTTAAAGGAGATAAACATTTTCTCCTATTTAGTACTCTCATCACTACTTTCACTACTAGAGTCATCACTACTATCATCTAAAACTACATCGATGTCATCATCATCGTCACTATCACTAGAGCCGATACTAGATTCATCGTCTTCATCGCTTGAGATCACAAAGCCATCGTCATCGTCATCGTCTTCATCATCATCATCCATAGCGTAGTCTGGAATTTCACTCGGCGGGCAAAGCGTTTCATGTAATGTTGGGGATGGTGATTACAGAAACTCTAAGTCCACCGGAGCATCAACCACTGACCTTGCATGTGTTTTAAACACAGACCACCATTGAACTCGATCCCGTTTCAGGCTAGGGTATGATGCGTGGTACACTTGAGTCACTTGGTAAGATAAAACAAATGGATCATATTTGGGGTATTTCTTAGTATGATTTACTTCGATTAGCTTGTATTGTTCGTGTATGTTCATTCCCCTACCACAATCCATCCAATTGCACTTAAACAAAATTGTCTTGTACTGTCTCTTGGGTCCCGTGTAGACAAGTTCAATTATGTTGTCTAAGATGCCGAAGTACTCTCCGCCATCCTCACTTGATACACACACCCCATAATTCATGGTGGATTTGTGCTTGCCATGGGCATGTGTATGGAAATTAAATCCACCTACATAAATCTGGCCCCAAGTACGAACTCGCCTGAAGGGACGCATGCACAATGCTCACAGGACATCCGAGTTTGGCTTCTCTTCGACCACCTATAAAGTGGTTGAATATCAGCATCAAGGTTCCTGAATTCAATGAATTGAAATGTAACATGTAAAATTCATTATTATTTCATGGTTACACCGCGTATATCACCTTGTGATGAAACCAATCAGAAAATTCAGTTTCGAAATTCTCCATGACATCTTCTCTACGCAGGAAAGGTCGAGTACTAAGAATGTAGTCCTCAAACTTCCTACGAGGCCAAACACACAATGTAAATATACAAAGTCATCATTGTAAATAATCGTAAATACGAATACACTGAACTCCTGGGCCTAATATACCTTTCGTATTCGCCAAGAATGTCGGTGTTTCGTAACACGAACAAATATGCACACTCGAGTTCTTTGTCATCTAAGAACCGAGTTCTACCATCATTTGACACACGACCATTGTCCTCTTTGAACAACTCTGGTATTTCAGCGTCGTCCGATGTGGACTCAACGTCGGCATTCACATTTCGACCAAGATCTCGAGTTTTAGTGTCAACTGTCGACTTAAAGTAATTGGAGCAGAAGTTTGCTATCTCTTCAGTGAGATAAGCATTGCATATGGACCCTTCAACTCGAGCCTTGTTCCTAATTTTTCGTTTCAAATGATTGAGGAACCTGCAATTACAGTTGTTATGTAACTGTATGAACAATTGATTAGGATGTAAAATAAGGATGTGAAATAAGGGTATTTGATTTACCTTTCGAAGGGATACATCCACCTATATTGTACAGGACCACATAACTTCCCCTCGTACGGAAAATGTGTAGGCAAATGCTGCATGGAGTTAAAGAATGCAGGAGGGAAGATCTTCTTAAGCTTGCAGAGGATCTCAGGTATGTTTTTCTCCAATCTCTCCATGTCACTAACTGATGTTGTATAGCAACACAAGTCTCGGAAGAATTGGCTGATCTCTGTAATTGCATTCCAAATATGGCCAGGGAGCAATTCCCTCAAAGCTGTGGGAAACATCCTCTCCGTGAACACGCGACAGTCATGGTTTTTCATTCCATAGAGCTTACACGCTTGCAAATCAAATCTACGCATCTGCTCAAATTGGAGGCGTAACCATCAGGAAACCGCAGCTGTTTAACCCACTCACACAAAACTTTTCTTTGAGCCTTGTCAAGAGAGAATGGAGCCTTTGGCATGACCTCTTTTCCTCTATAATCCTCTTGAAGATGAAGCTGGGGACGTTTACAATATTTAGCAATGTCATTCCGAGCTAAAGGGGTGTCACACGTAAGCTTTTTCACATCCATTACAGTGTGAATTAACTGATCAAAGAAGTTCTTCTCGATGTGCATGATATCTAAGTTGTGACGAATGAGGAGATGCTTCCAATATGGGAGCTCCCACAAGGTGCTTTGCTTGAACCACCCCTTCTTTTCATTTTTCAGCCTTTTAATTGAATCGGGTCCATCTGTAGCCTTCAGAAGGTCCTTAACACATTCCCACAGCTCCTCTCCTGACATGATGTGTGGAGGGGCTCCTTTCTCTACTTTGTTTTTACAAAATGTTGTTTTACTGTTTCGAAAAGGGTGATCTGTCGGCGGGATATGTCGGTGGCAATCAAACCAAGAAACTTTACCACCATGTTCAAGCCAAAATGCTTTGGTCTTCTCCATGCAATGTGGACAAGATTTCTTACCAGTCGTGGCCCAACCAGACAACATGCCATAAGCCGGGAAGTCACTAACGGTCCATAGGATGGCTGCTCGAAGATTGAAATTCTGTTTCTTCGAAATATCATAAGTAGTCGCGCCGACTTCCCACAACAGTTTCAAATCCTCTATCAATGGTTGCATGTAAACATCCAAGTTGCCCTTAGGGTTTTTAGGACCAGGAACGAGCAACAAAAGGAACATGAATTGTCTTTTCATGCACATTGAGGGAGGCAAGTTATAAGGGGTCAAAATGACAGGCCAACAAGAATATTGACCCCCAAACTTACCATGAGGAGCAAAACCATCTTTACACAAGCCAAGTCTCACATTACGAGGCTCAGAAGAAAACTCTGGAAACCGACAATCGAGGTGCTTCCAAGCTGCGCTGTCACTAGGGTTTGCCATTGTGCCTTGAACTCTGGGATTTTTCGAATGCCATGTCATTTCCTCCGAAATGTTCTTCGTTGCAAACAGTCTTTGCAACCTGGGTGTGATCGGGAAATAAAATAAAACATTCAAAGGCAGTAGGCTACCTTTGGAAGTCTGCTTGTATCGGTCGCTGCCACACACCCTGCATTCAGACAACTGAGCATCATCCTTCTAAAACAACATGCACCCTTTCGGGCACGCATGAATCTTTTGATGGGACAGTTCCAACCCCTTCACAATCTTCTTCACCTCGTAGAAAGTGTCGGCCATATGACTGTTGTTCGGAATCGCCTCACTTAGCAAAGAAGCAAACCCATCAACACATCTGTGAGGCAAATTATACTCACATTTGAGACTAGTGATTCTAGCGGCCATCTCTAACACAAACAAAGAACTCCCTTCGTACAATGGCCTTTCAGAATCCTTCAAAAAATCCAGAAAATGCTTAGCAGTTGCATTAGGCTCCTCCTCTGATGAAACACTAGCCTCCTCGGAATGCCCCTGATCTTGACTATGACCAAAAGCATCCAAAACCATGTCATGATATTCATTGGACCGCCGTTCGGGACCTCCCGGATACCCCTCCCCTTGACACATCCACACGTAGTAGTTAGGTACGAAACCCTTGTCATACAGATGAATTTTAACCGTATCCGCATTCCAAAGGCGTTTGTTCTTACATTTAACACATGGACACCTAACCTCATCCGGATTACTACTCTCGGGATGATCTCTGACGTACTGAATGATTACAACTTCATTTTATACATCCAGCTACGTTCTCTTCGTTTCATGATTACAACTTCTACACAGCTCACGCATATGTACAATCACATTAGTCATGAACGGTATTTCGCAGTCATTATCCACCACAGCGTTATGGAAATGCAAATGAGATTTGAAATGCTTCCAAAGGGTCCTTATCACTCCAACCTAACCCATCCTTGTACGTTTATTCTCACTAGTGAATGTAACCCAGGTTTTCAAATCTATGGAAAATCCGCCAGCATTTCCCTACAGCTCTCCAAGTACACGATGTAGGCGATTATACACACCTACATATGTACCCAGAGAACACGGTAGAGAAGTGCATGAAAAGGCAGGATTTTCCCTAGAATCAAAAACAAGGCTTACATTCACCACCTAAGTGAGAATAAGCGTATAAGGACAGTCCCAACCGGGGACTATTCAAGACATACTCCTAATGTGTATGCCTTGAACGGGTATTTAGGCATATGATTATGCAAATGATTCATTTATTATATATATATATATATATAAACTAACTTGCATTACATTAAACTAACAAATATATCATAATTTATCTAAAGAAAACTAACATATCATAATATCATAATATTCAAATAAACCAATCAAACAAAACCATACTAAACTAAAATATCATTATATTAAACCAAAATAAGATACATTATATAAATTAAACTAAACTAAGCTACAATATATTAAACTAAAGTAATGTAACATACATCATATTAAACTAAACCAAACCAACCTACATTATAATAAATTAAACAAAACTAAACAACATTATATTATGATAAAGTAAGCTAACATACATTATATAAATATAAACTAAACTAAACCAACAAACATTATTATATTAAACTAAACCAAACTAAACTAACCTATTATAATACAACTAAACTAAACTAACACGTTACCCTAAACTATACCAAACTAAAGTAACGTGTTATAATAAAGTAATTAAAAACTATACTTATATTAACTAAACTAATTTAACATATTATAACACAAACTCATTCAGTTCAAATATTTCAACAAATTGAAATATAAATATAACAAATTGTAAATACAATAACTAAAAACAATAATACACTACCATATATCTACACACCATTAGGATTTAACATGCCAAGTATGTACTAAATTTATAAATTTACCTTTAAAATAATGTCTAACCTGTAGATCAGAGTTTGTAATTGCCAAATAAACAATGCAATACACAAAACCTACAAATATGCAAATTTAACACAAAAAATTAACACCAAACAAAATCATAAACTACATTTATGATTTAAGCTTGAATACTTAACTAAACAAAATACAAAAAAAACAAAAAATAAAAAACAGAAAAGCAAACAAACTACCTGCTGGTGGCGGCGGCGGCGGCGGCAGCGGCAGCGGTGGCTGGTTGTGGTTGTTGCAGACTTGCCGGCGACTTAAGCCCTAGGTGAAAACTCCCGTACATCCTAGGTGAAAGGTGGTGGTTAGGGTTTGAAGGAAAAAAAAATTACCAAAACCCTTAACGGCGGCGGGGCGGCAGCAGAGGGGGTCGTTGTGGTGGCGGCGGCGGCGTGCCTTTCTCT